AGTGGGGTTCCTAATTTACAGAAACATAGCTGGCAACATAGAGGAATACTATAGAATTAATGAAAGGGTGGTAGGTATCGTAATTAAACTGAATGAGCGATACAAGATGAAGGTGGTACATGCTTACGCGCCTACATCCAGCCATGATGACGCTTCAGTTGAAAGCTTCTATGAAGACGTGGAATCGGCAATGTGTAAGGTAAAAACACCGTATACTATAGTGATGGGCAACTTTATTGCAAAGGTAGGGAAGAAGCAGGCTGGACACCAGGCAGTAGGAGAATATGGCATCGGTACTAGAAACGCCAGAGGAGAGCTACTAGTAGAATTCGCAGAATGCAATAATTTACGTATTTTGAATGCCTTCTACCGAAAACGAGGAAACCGCAAGTGGACATGGAGGAGCCCTATTGGCGAAAATAAGAACGAAATAGACTTTATAATGAGTGCACACCCAGGAATCGTGCAGGATGTGGAAGTGTTTGGCAAGGTACGATGCAGTGACCACAGAATGGTACGGTCTTGAATTCGCCTAGACATGAAGAAGGAACGAGAGAAACTGTTACGCAAGAAGCCAATCAATGAGCTAGCACTGAGAGGGAAAGTACAGGAATTCAGAGTGTGTCTGCAGAACAGGTACTCGGCTCTTAGTGAGGAAACCAACCTTAGCGTAGATACAATGAATGATAATCCGACGAGTATCATTACGGAATGTGCAGTGGAAGTTGGAGGCAGGGTAGTTAGACAGGACACTGGCAAGCTTTCCCAGGAAACGAAGAACCTAATTAAGAAGCGTCAAATCATGAAAGTGTCAAGTACAACAGACAAAATAGAACTGGCAGAGCTTTCGAAGTTGATTAATAGACGTAAGGTATGCGATGTAAGAAGGTATAGCATGGAGAGAATTGAACATGCTTTCAATAACGGAGGAAGCGTCAAAGCAGTGAAGAGGAAACTTGGGATAGGCAAAAGTCGGATATATGCACTAAGGGACAAAGAAGGCAAAATATCTACCAATATGGATAGGATAGTTAAAATAGCGGAGAAGTTTCACGGAGATCTGTACAGTAGCCGAGACAACCATGACCCTATTATTATAAGAACTTACAATAACCCCGATGACACCCCACCAGTAATGATTGAAGAAGTCAGAAAAGTTTTGGAGAGCACGCAAAGAGGCAAAGCTGCTGGTGAGGATCAGGTAACGTCAGATTTGCTGAAAAATGGCGGACAGATTCTGTTAGAAAAACTAGCCACCCTGTTTACGAGGTGTCTCCTGACGGGAGGAGTACCAGAGTGTTGGAAGAACGCTAACATCATCTTAATACATAAGAAAGGAGATGACAAGGAATTGAAAAATTACAGGCTGCTCAGCTTGCTCTATGTAGTATACAAGCTATTTACAAAGGTAATTGCTAACAGAGTAAAGAAAACACTAGAATTCAATCAACCAAAGGAACAAGCAGGATTTCGAACAGGCTACTCAACAATTGACCACATTGATACTATCAATCAGGTAATAGAGAAATGCTCAGAATATAACTAATCACTATACATAGCCTTCATAAATTACGAGAAGGCGTTGGATTCAGTAGCAATATCAACCGTCATGCAGGCATTGCGGAATCAGGGCGTAGATGAAGTATATATAAACATTCTGGAAGAAATCTACAGGAGATGAACTGCTACCATAGTGCTTCATAAAGAAAGCAACAGAATACCAATCAAGAAGGGTGCAAGGTAGGGGGACACAATCTCCCCAATGCTATTTACCGCGTGCTTACAGGAGGTTTTCAGAAGCCTAGAATGGGAACAGTTAGGGATAAGAGTTGATGGAGAATACCTTAGTAACCTGCGCTTCGCATTGCATTGCATTGCTGAGTAACTCAGGAGACGAATTGCAACTCATAATTATGGAGTTAGACAAGGAGAGCAGAAAGGGTGGTCTTAAAATTATTCTGCAGAAAACGAAAGTATTGTACAACCACCTCAGAGAGGAGCAGCGCTTCGAAATAGGTAATAGTGCACATGAAGTTGTAAAAGACTATGTCTACTTAGGGCAGGTAATAACCCGAGAGCCGAACCACGAGCTTGAAGAAACTAGAAGTATAAGAATGGGGTGGAGCACATTCGGCAAGCACTCTCAATATATGACAGGTAGATTGCCACTATCCCTCAAGAGGAAGGTATATAACAGCTGCATCTTGCCGGTACTTCGCTACGGAGCAAAAACCTGGAGACTTACAAAGAGGGTTCATTATTTATTTATTTATTTATTTATACAATACCTCAGGCCGCAAATTGGCCCAAGCAGGAGTGGGGGAGCTACAGAGCCGTTAGAAGAATTACACAATCTTTAGCGAGGTAAAAACAATAAACAGGACAATACAAAATATTTTGAAACACTGTAAAATATTAATACAAAATTTTACAAGTCAAACATCTGATCAATAGATTTCAGCACATTGTCAGATGAAAGAATTTCAGCTTAAGTTGAGGACGACGCAGCAAGAAATTGAAAGAAAAATGGTATGTGTAACCTGAAGAAACAAGAAGAGAGCAGAGTGGATTAGGGGACAAATGGGGGTTAAGAATATCATAGGTGAAATAAAGAAGAGGAAATGGACACGGGCCGGGCATGTAGCGCGTAGACAGGATAACCGCTGGTCTTCAAGGGAAACTAGCTGGATTCCCAGAGAAGGGAAGCAGGTTAGGGGGAGACAGCAGGTTAGGTGGGCAGATAAGATTAAGAAGTTCGCGGGTATAAATTGGCAGCAGCCAGCACAGGACCGGGTTAACTGGCGGAACATGGGAGAGGCCTTTGTCCTGCAGTGGACGTAGTCAGGCTGATGATGACGATATATATACGGTGACGCCGCCACTGGCGCTGGTGGTAAAATCCAGCCGAGAGTGTACATGTAATTGCTGTCGCAATAAAAATCAGTTGGCACAGTACGAGAAAGCAATCCGTTTACGCCTAACGTTTTAGCTGTGGCACAGTCTTTGTCAGAGAAAGAATGACACTGCCTTTGAGAGCCTTCTCACGTCAGAAGCCGTGGTATGGCAGGAAGTTTAGACATAATTTATTTTTCTCTCGTAAGTTTACCCTCTGGTTTTTCCGGGTAGTCTGCTAGTCTGTCTGCCCATCCGTCCATGCGTCCGCCCGCGCATCCATCTAGTGAACACTCGAACACCGCCATGTCCCATTTTGCATACCTGTGGCACATATCTGCTCCAGAGCGGGTATGCGCCACCAGTGGCTACGTACGACAACATCATAAGATGTACAGTACGGTCCACAGTTAGGGAGAACACGCGATCACGCGGCCGGTGGCCCGCGGGGCGCTAACTGCTGGCGAGATTTGGAAAGGCGGAGCATGCGCACAAAATTAGCAAGGGCGGTTCGTGCCCTGCGTCGTCTGCTACTTCTCCGCCCAAGCGCTCGGCACGCGCTACGTTATGCTACGTTATGCTACGTTATGTTGTCATGCCATGCTACGTTATGTTGTCTGCTGTCCAAGGCAGCCGGCTGGTTCGAGCGTGGTGCAAAGCTTACGAGTAATATTTCTGTGAGCATTGACACCATAGGTTACGCAAGGGAGAAGCTTCGTTATCGCTTTCACAGAATTCCACAGCTGGGGGGGGGTTATTCTTGGCTCAACAAATTTTTGGTGGTGCCCGTTCCTATAGGTGGCATGGCCAGGGCACCTGAGGATTAAAGGCTTTTTATAGTCAAGCTCTACCGTAAAGAATACAATCAGTGTGCTGTCGCTGTCGTGGTAACCAGGCCATTGAAGACCCTGATGGTGCTAATGTTCCCCCCCCCCCCCTCCATTCACCTGACTAGAACGTAATTGAAAATGTGTGGGGTAGGATGAAATCATCTTCCATTCTCCGCGACAAATCTGTGGATGACCATTCGGCTATTGAAAACAAAGAGTGGAAGCGGCTTAAGCGCGATTCATCCTTTCTGGAAGCTCTCTGCAGATCTCCGCCTGCAAGAATGAAGGCCATACTCGACGCTGGAAGTGATATCAACCGATACTAAACGACGCTTTTCATTCTTATAAGGTTAAGAGGCCATATATCCGGCCTGGTTCATCTTTTATCACAAAAGTTTGACGAGTAAATTTGCTCTATCGTGCTAACCGTATACTATATACTTTCGTATGTAGTATATATATTACGATATACTTTCGTGCTTACGATATACTATTTCATCCACAAGTATAGTGGTTATGGTGTTCCACTGCTGAAATGCAGCACGGGATTGAATTCCAGCCACGGCAGCCGCATTATAGATAGAGGCTGGAATATCCAAGACCCGAGTTCTTTGATTTAAACCCCAGACATGCACTGTAAAAAATTATCAAATTGACGGTGAATATACCAGCACCTCTATTTCCAAGCTTATGGCCATTAAAATGACGACAAGCTGTCATTTTAAAGTGACAGCACAATTTTATCATTTTAATGTGTCTCCCGTCATTTTAAAATACAAGCAAACCGTCATATTGACAAAATTTACATAAAAAATTGACAGGTTGCCATTTTCAAACGATGGCTTAATTTTATCATTTTGATGTCTTTCCCGTGATTTCAAAATACAAGCGAACCGTCAAGTTGATAACATTTACGTCAAAGTAACTAAAGGTCTTCATTTGAAAATGACGGTATTCTTCGATTATATTGATCTTTTTTTTATTGAACCTCATACACAACTGAACTCTCCAATTGACAACCTTTGATCGTCAGAAGTTGTCAATTTTAGATAAAAGTAATTACCAATTAGTGTCATTTACGTCTCTTTGTCATATAAAACTATTATTAGATCATCAATTTAGCATTTTCTTTGTAAGGTGACAGTAGGCTCTCCATGCATTGTCGATAATGGCTCATGAGAAGTGTATTCTGTATCATTATGAATTGTAGTATAGTCTACGTCGCCATGCCAATGTCAGTCGACATGGGTAACACTGCATAAAATATACAGCGAAAGCTTTTGTGAATACTCGCACATTTATTCTTCAAAATATTTTTACAAGGCTGAGCACCCTTCAAGCTACTCCGCCGACTCTGCCTTTAACACAGCGTTTAGTCGGAATGATATGCCCTGTGTATATGGGAACGAAAATAGAATAACAAAATAAATTCATGCTCCATAAACTGTGCCAGTCACATACTTGGGCTTCAGAAGTTAAATGCCTGAAATATGTCAACTGCACTAACTTGTGTGATACCGACATTGCATTATGAAATTATAGAACGCCAGACAGAAATTTTGTGCAGCAAATGTAATGGTTTTTGTTATATGCTGGAATTAGGGGAACATATAAAACAGAAAACGTGAACACATTACAGTATTGTGAAAAAGTTGTTCTTTTTATAAAAAATTGGTAAACATGCAGCATATGGAAACTTATTGCCAAGGCAAAAATAAAGATAAAATGAGTAACCTATCAGAGTCGTTAAAGAGTAGCACCTTGAGAATAACGATAACACTGTATCATTATAATTGATCGAACCAGCAATAATATATAAATCAATTAGTGTGACACAGTTTCACCTGGGCACCTAAAATTCAAAGTGCCGTCTAGTAGGCAACACAAAATTCTGCGAAATATAATGGCTCAAAAACTACTACTCGCATTCACTTATACCTGCACAATACTCTTTTTTACATGGTCGGAGATGGTAGAAACTTGACCGGGTGCACTTGATATGAAATGACCCAATACATTTGACATGGCCACCGAAATAATTGAACACTGTTTAGAATGACCCAGGTGTTACCCATGAATAAACACACAACACCTGTCAGTAGAAATAGCTTTGCAAACAGATATTGCTCGAGAAATAAAAAGGAAACAACGTTAAGGAGCAACAAACTTTCATGTGCTTTTTGAAAAAAGACATCCTTAGTAGGAAAGGAAACAGGAATAAAGATCGTAGTTCAAGTTTGCTGGGATAGGCACAATGTTAAGAGACAAGCCATTCATGCGCTATATGGCGCAATTTAAAGGCGAACGTATTCAACAGAAATCTATCTCGCTGGGTCTTTAGACCTAAAGTGGCTGGTGAACCTAATCATTCATATATATGGAACAAACACTGAATTTTTGCAGTGTGAGGTAGCCTCAATCTCAAATTTTAAGTGCATCCTACCTGTGATACATTAGTGGAGGAAGTTGGAACTGCCTAAAGTCCCTCTCACCATCCGCATATAACACAGTTTACATATCAATCAGGCCATTGAAAAACAAAATTTCGGTTGGAAATTTCATAATCACGCATTGTCGCTTGAGACGGCCTTTCCACAAGCGTGCTTGACTTCTTGAAGGCTGCAGCCTAGAAGAAGACAAGTTTACTTGTCAAAACATGTACTCCAGTGATACTCCACGTTCTCGAATTTTCCATCTCTATCTTTCCAAGACCTTTGCCTGGAATAACAAGCTAAGCTACACAAATCATATTTTGAGCAAAAAATTTCTACTTGGCATACTCACCAATGACACCTAGATAAGGTGTTGCTGATATCCTGTCCAGGCTTTCTTCACCGGCATGCTGGGAATTCACAAGCAAAAAATCAGACTCGAGATAAAAATTATAATAACCGGACCTATCTAAATCCCACATCATAACAAAACTTCTAAGGGCTGCCTTGCATTCTTTAACATAGGAAGCTGATAATGCATTTGATACTACAAGCTTACACACTGTTCAAGGGGAGAAAATACAGGACAAAGTAAAAGATAAAAGAAAGACAACATTTCGACTTCTATAAAGACCTCCTCCACAATGAGGCCATGCAACTGTGGCTTGGGAGCATGGGGAGAGTTGGCCTGGACATTAAATTTGAGGTATTATAGTAGAAGACATAATTTAGGATCTGGTCTGTCTTTACGAATGAAATGCTTGTGTAACCAGAAATGGTAAAACAAGTATACAATAAAAAAATTAGGATATTGAGTACATACCTTGCTTGCCAGTGTGAAAGTTGCAGTGATACACCTGACCAAATATGCCTGAAGTTGACCTGTCTACGCCAGAAGGTGTCTGTTGACCCTTCAGACCAGGCCTGCGAACCAAAGACGGCTGAAGCTGTTAGCAGTCAGTGAATGATGTCTATTAGACAGTTGCATGCAGTAACTTGCGTACAAACTTGCAAGCACTTCTAGAGCCATCCTGAACCTACGGCATTTTAAGTGCTTGCACATGTCGATAACGCTGCATTTAACTACAGTTTCTCAAGTTTTGCGAAGTTGTGTCTGCTGGTTTCATATGCAGTAAATTTCTTTTAAATATTTCTGTCAGCCCACGCAGATGATTGCTCTTGGTACAATGTTTCTCAAAATACACTTTGTTTTCCCATGTTGGTCTTTTTTGCGCTACGTATTTAAACTTCCGTCTGCATTTACAAGCTAAGGTCACTTTTGATTGCGATTCGTGAATCAGGGTAGAATTGCCCAATCGCAATCAGGTACCATCGTCTGCCTTTTATGCTGGCTAGTGGTCGAGAACCAGAGTAAGAAGTTGCGGAAGAGGTGCAGTTTTCAGCCACAGTACCAGACGAAAAAAACTATTTCTGGTTGACGTATAATTTTATGAATTCGCGGCTGTATAGTCCACATTATTTAGTTTTTCAGAAAAGTGATGATCATCATGAACTTATAGCGCAGGTATTATGACGTACAGATGAAAAGGAAGAACAAAAAGTGCTTACGAAACATCTTCATCAGGTACTCTCAATGTATTCAGCGGTACATAAGATGATCACACGCTTGACCAATCGACTCCGGTCCTTGCACAATGGTGCAAGGACCGGAGTCCTTGCACCATTGAATCGCGATCCCTTTGAATCGCGATCGAAAGTGCGCGATAAGTGCAATTCAAACGCGCTAATGCTCCTCGTATGCTCCTGTTTTCATTCTTTTTTTCAAAAGAAAGAGGGCTTTTCTTTTTTTTTATCATTAGACAAGCTGACGCATCGCTGCACGTGGTTCAGCCTCAGCGCGAAAGCACCTCCCAAGGCGGCGGTGTCGAGCTATCTCCAACGGTGCATGCACGTCGCTCGAATGCATACTGGAAGTAGAGCATTCGCACAGACGCGCGAAAGAAGTCAACTCCACAACCCGCGAAAACTAGCGCTTGCTCCTTGGTCACTCGCAAACTAGGTGACGTTTTAAAACCATGGACAGCCGAAGGATGAAAACAGACGAAAGAAGTATATAGGCACACTCACCTTGCTCTGGAGTTTAAGCTGGAGCGTCGAGCAGAACGCGCTTTACATGGGCCCTTGGTCTTTCAAGTACACCACGCTAGAAAGAAGACAACATGGTGCACCAAGCTGCAGGCTTCTTCCCGACACAGAAAAAAAAACCGCATAAAGGTCGAAGAAACACGAAGGAACGGGTTGGCAATGCATAACCCGGCTCCCTCGGCTGTCTGTATTTCTCCCTGGCTCAGCAGCGACGGCCTCCTTTCCACTGTCTCGTGGAGGGGTAACCTCAAAGGGGCGAGAGAGAGTGAGGTGTCACATGACGTGTGGTAGCCAACCGAATCGCACTGGAAGCTTTTCTCCTTTTCTGTCTTTCGTCGTTGCTTCTCTCCGCTCGCTGAATGACGGCGGAGCCCCCGTCCTTTGCGTTTGACGCCGACGACTCGTCAAACTGACGGCACGTTCTTATAGTGTGGTTGAAATTTCTGGAGCTTTCCACTGCGTCGCTCATAATCATACCACTGTTCTGCGATGTTAAACCCCAACATTTATTAGTATTGAAATACAACGGTGCAGCTGACGCTTTATTCAAGCAACAGCCAGATGGCGCCGATGATGAAGAGGAACGGGGCGAAGACTGATGATGGTTATTGATAGATGAGGAAGATGACGTACAATGAATTCTCACACTAATTTCCCCCGTCGACGGAAGCGGCCAGCCTGGCCGCGAATTACACTGTGGAACGCATACAATAGGGCTTGAGACACGAAACGTGCACACTCTCTGTCCCGCGGCAGCGTTGGTCAGTGGGGACATGAACAGGTGGGACACGGTAGTTCACCGGTGAGGTCTGTTCGATAACTTTGTATGGGCCAAGATAGCGTGACTCAAACTTTTCGCATAAGCCAGGCGTTCACGCAGTAGTCCACAGAAGTACATTGTCGCCAGGGCGGTAGAGAACGACGCGGTGAGTGGCGTCGTAACTATGTTTGCGATCTTCTTGGCTAGCTTCGGTGTTTACACGGGCAAGACGACGGCATCGAGCAACGCGGGACAGAAACTGGTCGCAAACGAATGGTGAAGAGTTGACGGGGCCAGAAAAAAATGAAACGTCGAGTGGTGATGTCGGTTGGCGTCCGTATACTAGGAAAAATGGAGAATAGCCCGTAGTTCGTTGAACTGACGTATTATATGCATACGTGACAAAGGGAAGTATGGCACCCCAATTGCGATGGTCCGGTCGGATATACATGGACAGCATGTCAGACAGCGTGCGATGAAATCTTTCCGTTAAGTCATTGGTTTGCGGGTGATAGCTAGATGTTGTTTTATGAACTGTTTTTGATGCTTGAAGAACTTCACTGAGCGTGCTTGAAAGAAATGCCTTTCCCCGGTCGCTCAAAAGGACACGAGGAGCTCCGTGACGTAGGTAAATAGAATGCAAGAAGAAAGTTGCTACTTCCAAAGCAGTTCCTGAAGTGATCGAGGCCGTCTCAGCTTACCGGGTCAAGTGATCAACCGCGGTGACGATTCTCACAGTATTAGGTGTTTATTAACATGCTTCTAAACATAATTGTTTTCATGGCATGTAGCATTTAATCGAAATTTCACCGCTGTCGGTGTGAATCACATTGTTTCGGAACTGGTAAGATACCACAGCAAGAAATAAGCTTGACCTTTCGTGTGCCTGTTGACTACGTAACAGGGCACCGGCTGGCCAGCAACGAGATGAATCACACCACGGAAAAACGAAAGTGCTCGGCAAGCGCAGGGCAAGAAAGTAGCAGACAAAACCCGACGAGCGCTGCTTTTGCGTTTTTTAGGGGTGAAGTTCTTTATAACGGCACCCGTTCATCCCTCGCAGCCGTTGTAGTATGTAACAAGTATAACATTTTACCTTCCAAGGTGGTGCCGGTGAGAGATTTATTCTATGCGTTGTTGAACAATAAAAAATAGTGCTCAATGTACATGACAATGGCTGCTAATGGGGAATGAAAAACAGGAGCATCCGGCTTTTGGTTAACGCGCACGCTGCCATCCCCATTAGTGATCCCCATTTTCGTAGGTTTAATGCATTACACATGAACAAGTTGCACATTCACTTTGCTTTAGGTAATTATTTTTAAAGTCACGTCACTTCCATGCGGCGCAGGAGCCACTTCTATGTGGGGCAGGCTGCTGCGCCGCGGGCCGCCGGACACGCTGCCATTCCGGCAACGTCTGCAGTGTACTGCGTAGCATCCGAATGATATCAGGGAAATACATTGTAATCCGTGAGAGCCATAGACATAGCATTCGGTGTTTCAGAAATTTTCATCGAGACAATGCCACGAAAATACCCAAAATATATTTTGACGTTTGACGTGCGTGGATTATGGCACGAAATTTAAAAATGAAACGTCAACCTTCATTTTCTGCGCTATTATTAACCTTGTATTAATGAAACCTATGGCATGAGACCTCTGAAACCACCCCGCTGCGGTTGTCTAGTAGCGAAGGTACTCGCCTGCTGACCCGCAAGTCACGGGATCGAATCCCGGCTGTGGCGGCTGCATTTCCTATGGAAGCAGAAGTGTTGTAGGCCCATGTACTCAGATTTGGGTGCACGTTAAAGAACTCCAGGTGGTCGAAATTTCCGGAGCCCTCGACTACGGCATCTCTGATAATCATATGCTGGTTTCGGGACGTAAAACCCCACATATGATGATGACACTTCTTGGAGCGCAGTTCTTCAATATAAACAAAGTTAATATTTCTGTATAGTGTGCCTTTAAATTATGCGATGAATGGTTTTTACTTCACGCCCCGCGCCTCGTTTCCGTCGTATCACTTGCGAAGTGCAACAGACACTGTGGATACATTTCTAATCTTCGATTTGTTGTCTTGGGACAGCGCGTGCGCAAGAACGCGATAATGGCTTCTGTTCAGCGCATGCGTCCTAGAGGCTAGCCTCTTTTTCGGTAGCTGAGCTTCCTGGGTCTCCACTTATTAAATGGTCCATTAACATTACAGCATTGAAGTGGCACGAACAATAAGCTCATGACAACGATAGAAGACGCTTGGTTACTTGCTGCCCCCTAATACATTTTTGTACGTGATATGCGCAGTGCCTGCCCATATTGTTGATTTCGACGAGATCCTCCACGTGGCTCCATCCGAAGATGTGCGCCTGAGCTGCCGTTTCCTGGGTGCCGCACCTGTGCACTGGGAATGGAAGCATGGGTATTGTCTTTTCATTACCTATTCTCTATTCAAGTAAAAAGTTTATGTAGTGAAGGTAGGGAAACATACCAGTAAGCCAAAAACGCAAAAATATTGACTTATCGAGGCATGATATTCAGTCATATTATGAGTTCGTGAGCCATGATATTTGATGAAGCAACGCACAGAAGGCTACAATCTCGCACACATGCAATGACGCTAGTCAAGCGTGGCGTGTGGCAGCTTGGGCTAGTTGGTATGGCATGACGATAGTTATAGCGCGAGAACAAAACGATATTTGTGCCATATGGTTTTTATTACGTAGTTACTGTCTCCTCTATATATTTTCGTTTCTGTGCAATAAACTTAGCGCTCGTGTCTTTCGTGTCCTTCTTGTCTCTGTGTCGTCGTATTGTTCTCGTGCTATAACTATCGTCAGGCTAGTCAAGCGCTGTACTGCAAAAGATGCTTTACTGTCAAAGCATCCGGCTTATGTAGGATAACACGTAGATGCGCACTGGTAGCAGTGAACATGATCAAGAGCACATAAAGCGTTTAAGCGATGCACAGATGTGTTTGTGATAAAAACTGCCAAACAGTAAGTAGTAATGACATATTTATTTAGAAAATCTGAAATTAATTATTATTCAAAACATATTTAATAAATTCAGCAGGACCCGCCATTGCAGCATACCTGGCTTAGTCCCAAACCGAGGCACACAGACTCAGCCTATAAGCTCCTCGTGGGCCCACCAAGAGGCCATGAGTTGAAGGCCGAAGTTGGAACTTGTGTGGTTTCTATGACACTCCCCCGTTGTGCTGTCCGGAAGAGAATCGTAACTTTGGACCATGAGGTGCTGTAGAGTGGCAGGGCTGTCGCATGCGGAGCTATCTTGTTAGAGCAAACGTTGGCTATACCTCTTTGAGAAAGATGGGCATAGGGTGCGACTCCAACTGTGAAAAACGGAGTACAAAAGCTAGCTGAGTTTTGTTAAGCATATAATGTGCAGAAGGAAAACATCTGCACGACAATGCAGATTGTTTCTTGATATCATTAAACGTCCGCGAAATGCCACTCAAGTGGGTGGAGCCGGAGGAGAGGGTTGCCTTCGCACACGGCTGTTCTTGGCCGTCTCGTTGAAGTTGACCTAAATCTCCTCTGTCATCTGGACCCTCCACTACGGCATCTCTGATAATTATATGGTGGTTTTGGGATAATAAACCCCACATATCAATCTACTCTGTGTTATTCATGTGCGCAGAGGACCAGTGGAGTGAGTGTGATGAAGTCGTGTGACTGAAGATACGAAGCACTTTGGCAGAAATCGGACTTTTCATATATGCCCGTGGGGCAGCCTTAAAATCTCTGTATAGGGCTTCTGTGCTGTCCTGCAGCAGCTACAGCGCGATGGCAACCAGTTCGGGCACCCCCACATCGGTCGCTCGGAGAGATGACCAGTTGATGAGCTTGGCATCAGGGTTCACCACAGCAGCGACGAAAGCTTTCTGGCGGCACCAACAAAGGTGGTGTCCGAGCCATCTCGGTGCAGTGAAGTATGGCAGCAGCACAAGCCTTCTGGTGTCCAACGTGCAGATCGCATGTACTTTTTGGCATCACTGCTACGCTTAGTGTTTGCCAGTTTTCTTTGGGTATACATGTGTCCACGAGGGTGGATTCTCAGCTCAGTGAAGATCTTCCTTCTGTCGGGACAGTGAGAGAGTTGTAAATTGCATTTAAGGCCGCGGCTATTTTTTTATGCTGTTGTGTACACCTACAGTTAGTAAGTTCTCCATGTGCACCTTGAGAGGAAACCACAAAGCCAATTTTCAGCTTAATTCTTTCGATCAGAGTCCACTTTGTGGGACTAGTCAAGCTGCCTACTTGCAGCTTTTATCCCACCATTCTTGTTGTTTAAACATGTTTTGATATATGTGGCAATAAAGTTCACTTCACTTCACTTATACTCTAACATGGAATAAATCAAGTGGCGGAGCTAAGAAACGTGAATCAGGCAGTAAA